TCTCACCTATGAAATCTGGAGCACCTGGGAAATTTGCATCACATAGGGGAGTTGCTCCAGTTTAACTGTATCAGTGTAAATCCAAACCTTAGGTTATTCCACTGCAGGTTTCCCATGGTTGGCACAAGGAGGATGCCTTGTTGGGAGCCTCAACAGAGAAGCCAAGGTCTCAATGATCCATGCAGAATGACTCCCCCCAGAAAGAGCCTTTAAAGGTGGCTGCTTCGGGGCAGGACTGGATTGAGGTATATGCATGGCACACAAGGGGATGTATAGAGAGAAGGTTGCCTGCTGCTGGCTGTACTAGACACATCTTGGGGGCCATCGGTCTCTGGCATTCTTACAGCCACTTTTGCCAGCACTAAAACTCATTGGGGAAAGGGCTTCCTTTAAAGGGCATTTACGTACATACACACACCAGCAAGAGGCTCCACCTGATTAACATGCTGCTACAAAGGCTTGTTCACATGTAGTACATGCAAAGGTACAATGTTGAGGCTAGGTTTGCAAACGCTGCCATAAAACACAAGGGGGAAATATTTCTCTCCGAATGGATGGACAGGGTTGGTGTGCTGTGGGCCCAGCAAAAGCATTCAGAACAACTTTGCTTTTTCCTGAAGGCCACTTGTTCAGGAAAGTGAGCACTTAGAGAGGCTTTCGGGCCCCAAAAACATTAAGGATAGCATTAATAACTAAAGAAGACATTGAGGTTGGAACAGAAGTCCATGTAGCTCACTTTTTAAGAAACTAAGTGATTGTACAAAACTGCTCATTAAAGCGATCTTAATCAGCTAGTGTTTTATTATTTTTCACTAACTTTCCCAATAAAAAGTGACGTCTCTACCCCTGTCTCTGGTTTATACCTGCTGTGAGCCAAATTCCCTGACAAAGGCTGCTTTGTAAACAATGTTTTGTTCTGACCTGCCCATGATCCTGTCTCTGGCAGAAAAGCTAAGGGTATCAAAGAGAGAAAGAAAAACTAACAGTAAGGGGAAAAACCCCCCAATGCACAGGATCAGGCCCTCAGCTGGGATTAATCAGTGAAGCCCTACAGAATAATTGGAACTATTTCTGATTACACAAGCTGAAGATTTAAACTGGAAACACTGGCTGGTGGAACACACCCTGCTAGCTCCAATGCCAAGAAACTGAATGGCTGCGCAGATCCCATTCACAAAGAACTAGAACCGGGGGAATCAGCCCAAATTGGCATGGCTCTGGGTGAGGACAGTGTTCTGAGCAAACAAGGTCAGTGGGGCAGACAAAACAACAGTGCAGGTAGAAGAGCACAGCAGCTGTTTATGATACATGAGCATCATACAGTTCTAAGAAAAAGGAGGCAGGGCAGCAGTTAGTGTACTTCAGTAACAGGGGCAAGAGGGACATGATTTGCCTGGCAGTAAGCCTTCTTTATTGATTCGCATTTCAGAGACAAACCAGGGAATAATGGGCCGCGGCTCAGGCTTAGAGGACTGAAACCAGTGGGATCTGGCTGCCATAAAATGTCCTTTACTGGGGGAACTCTTTTAAGAAGAGGAGCTCAGATGCCATGGTGAAGGATGTCCAAGAAATGCCTAAGACAGGCAGGACCAACTTCCGAACCTGACCTAGCCCCACTTCCTTTGCAGGGGCACTGCCAGATGTCCCTCCGTTGGGCAAGAATGTGACTATCCACACAGGTCACCAGAGGTTGTTACTATAGTGATTAGATGACATAAATAGATCAACAGGGTGACCATAGCAGTGGTATCCTGGCCCTGGGCTCCTTTACAAGGACAGAAGGCCTTTATTCATTAACTGCTGTTAAATAGTAATAGCTCATATCACTCTACATCTGTATTAGACTTGTTTGGGATAAGGAATAAAATTTCAGGTATGAAGAAAGTGAGGCTTTAAGCTGCTAAATCAGTGTTTCTTGAACTATGTTCCACGGCACACCGGTGTGCCGCGGAGAACAACAGAATTCAAAATGGCCGCCCTTAAAGGGGCAGGCAACTTTTTTTTTCTCAATAACTTTCTCCCCGAGATTTTTCTTTTCTCAACAAAAAATCCTAGGTGTTCCTCATAAAAAAAATATTGTTTGGTGTTCCTCGGTCTTAAAAAGTTTAAGAAACACTGTGCTAAATGATCTGCCCCAGTGGCCACGTTCTTCTTCTATTGCACATGTGTGCGGATCACCAAATTCAGAACTTACCTAGACCAACAGACAACCCTCAGCATGCCCCTTTGATTCATGGCAAGCTGAGAAGTCAGCTCCTCTGTGCGTGGATCCCAGTGAGAATGCTGAATCCTGGCTCAAGAGAGTGTTCTGGAGTAAGACCCAGAAGGGGTCTCTGTCTGGCCTGCCTTTCCCACAGAGACACATGCTCATCAGAGATCAAAGGCTCAGTCCTGCAAAGGGACTGGATGTTTCAGTCACATTATCTCCCAATATATTTTGTTCTTCTGATGAACTGTAGTCTGTCAAGAGAAGGAAAAGCCCCCATGACCTATGGAAGGCCAAGGAGAGCTCATTGTTTTGGCTATGCATCCAGCACAGCGTAGACTGAAAAACTGCACTTTAGCCCTCTTAACCTAAAAAGTTCCCTCTACAGGACAGAAAGAGGAAGTGCAAGCTCTATGGTAATTTCAGTGTAAACGCTAGCTACGTAGACTTCATTTTGAGCACTGTAAATAGTGCCTACACCTATGCCAGTCCTCTGCACTTCAGCTCCATCTACACTGTGAGCCAGGGAAGTGATTCCCTTGCTCTTATATATGTACTTATAGTAGTTTTTAGGGCTGCCAGCTCTCCTGGGCACCATTGCAGCAAATGGCATAGGGTTGAGAGAGTTGGCAACCCTAGACTTGATCATTGCTAGTGGGTGTATAAACAGTAGTGGCTGCAGTAACGTGCAGGGCAATGGCAGCAGAGAGGAGGGTCAACTGTTTGCAGGCAGGTTTGTACTCAGCATGTCTGATCTGTGCCTCCACTCTGTTACCAGTGGGTTTTGTTCATGGGCTGAGATTCCTGCCAGACCACAGCTGCACTGCTATTTATACCGGTTTGCCTCCCTGATTCTGCGGCTGGCCCGATCCCCAGCGAAGACAAAGTCACCTCAGGTCTGTCCTAATGTGTATCCATCTCCCTGTGGATCCTAGGAGCTATTTCAGCAACCAGCGGTAGCCGGAGTGTGGCAGTGCATATCACTTTTCTCCAGAAATGTCCTCAACGTGACCCCTACTGGGGAAGCAGCTGGGAGAGTAGCATCGTGCCATTATGCCAATGATATGCCAACACAGGTTTTATAGCTTCTGTGCCAGTGAAGCCAGGGCCATAGAGCCACCATGAACTGGGCCATTCATATTTTTTTAGATCAAAGATTTAATGTCATTAGCATCCTATGCGATAAAGTGGGGTAGGAATTTCACAGCCCAGGCCTAGCTATCATCTGGGTTGTACAGAAATCCATCAAACAGCCCATTATTCTGAACAGAAATCTTTTTTGCACCCTACCCCGGGAAGGAAAAACCAACAGCTAACTGATTGATAGGTTACCTTCCAATATAGCTGCCAAACAATCATGAAGGAAGCATTAGTCAGTGCTCTGCATTATTGCTGCTCTAGTGGAACGTCCGCAGCCAGCTGGCTGATCTGTCGTGCACAATAGCAGCAACGTTGAACAATGGGCTTTTCCATTTGCAAGGCCTTCAGTGGTGGACTCTGATGCTTGTTATTCAGTTAATGCATGTGTTACATCTGTTATTTTACAGAGATAATTACCCTATGGAAGCAAAATGGCTCAACAGAGCTACGTGGATTTACAGCAATTAAGGGAATGACTACAATTCAACAAAAGACCCACTGTGGCTGGTTCAGTTTGCTGACTCAGATTCACGGATTTGGGCTGCCGGGTGATGAAATTGCAATGTAGACATTTGATCTCGGGCTGGACCCGGGGCTCTGAGTTCCTGCAGATGGGGAGTTTTTCTGAACCCAGATTCCAGCGCATCCTGAACATCTACACTGCTTGTTGTAACTGAGTCCCACAAGCCTGAGTCAGATGAGCCAGCCCCTCCGACTCGGTGCCACAAGTATTTTATCACAATGTAGAAGTGCCCTAAGCATTTGTAGTTTCCCCCACCCCTCACAAACCTGTAATTTTCTTCTAATCCTTCTAAGTCCAATAACACTAAAGGATCTGACGGCTTGCAGGGTATAACAGAAATGTCACGCTCCCCCGTGAGATATCACCTTGTTTCAGACCATGACATTCACATAATGAGCCATAGAAAAAATGAATTAGTGCTTAACTCGCCATCCCTAGATAGCCTCCTAATGGAAATTGATTTCTAAGTCTCTCCCTCCCTTCCACCCCCTTTTTAACATAGATATGTAGCATCTGTCTTGTAGATTCAAGAGGCTTTTGCCAATTTTGGCTAGGAGGGAAGTGGAGGGAAGATCACAGAGAGCTTCTGATTAATGAATGTTCTGATATGCACCATATGGATGGTTAAAATTGCAGACACCCACTCCCACCCAGAGAGAATGTTCTCGTTCTCACTCACGCTGCTGTACATGGAGAAAAGATGCTTGCCCTGGTCAGCTCCTCTGCTTGTGCAAATCAGTATCACACTATTAATACCCACAGAGTTACTCCAATTTACACCAGCGGATGATCTGGCCATCTATTTTTCTCATTAACACACTGGCACACAAATACACAATCCCACAAACAGGACACAGTCTCGCTTTCATAGAAGTTCTTCATTAACACACTCCTATAAACACACTCATACTTACACACAGACACATATATACACCATTCATGCATGTTCAAACACTCAACACATGGTCTCTCTACACAAGGCACGCATAAACAGAACACATTCTCTCTCTCTGTCATATACCCACACACAGACACATGGAGGGATTCCCTCATTGCATCATGCAGAGATATCTCACATAGGGCATGTGTGTGGGGGTTTGGCAGGCTGGATCCGCCCTCTGCAGACAGTTACACAAACGCCACTAAAGAGATCCTGGGTAATTCTTTCAGACTACAGGCTCCACACACACGCCCCTTTCTCTGCCACTTCAGTGAAACTCAGATGACAATTTCTTCATTGTGTAGGAGCAGGAGCAGAACCAGAGACTGGCCTCGGAAACCCATCCGTTTTCTTGTTGTGTTCTGGCGAGGGAGGGAAATCAACTGGGAGAAGGTGAGTGAACGCTGCTGTTCCTATAGATTTAGCCTTGCAGTTTCAGCAGCTGCGTTCCAAATTAGAATGCTATGACAATGAGGTGTCAGTTTCTCCCTTTAGTTAGTTCAGCATTCTGTAACAAACTAGCCTGGTATTTCCAGGGTCTTTTTGTTTTGTTTTGGGCAAATCTTGGCAGCAAGGATTTGCTGTGATGAAGAGAAATTAAAATGCACCCTGCACCTTATATAATTTTAAAATTAGGATGGATTCCTCTTGTTTTTCTCAGTCCAAGGTTGCTTTTCTGGCCCACAGTTGCTTCAATAGTGCCAAAAACTGTCTGGTAAAGGACTTGTTGGTTATGACGCCTGTGTGTATTTGGTGTTTACTGATGCATACCCTCGCTTGTGATCCTCTGACTCCAGGTTTCTTGAGATGACCTTGTCTTGCATAATATTAAAAATTTAGTATTGGGTGTCAGCATTAGTTCTGAGTCAAAATCCAAAACCGAGAAGAGCGTTCAGATAAGTTCTCTTCTCCTGATTTATGTCCTCTGACAAGTGTAAGGTAAGAGAATAGACAGATTCCCAGGGCAGTGGTATTGGGGGTGCTGCTGCACTCCATGTCTTGAAGTAGTAATTTCAAACACCAAATCCATAGCTTCCATCATCAGTCTCCCCACTATAAAAATTGTTCCAGCACCTGTGCTCAGGGACTTTTCTTTTCCCTAAAAAATGTGCTCTGAATCCCTCCCCTTACATTCCCAAAGACAACAACCTTTGTGAAGCCCTTCGCTCTGACTCCCACTGTGACGCTGAGCGGGATCAGAATGTTCTTTTACTGCCAGGAAGAACATTCCACATGTTCCTGCAGATTAATGAGATTGAGTTTAAATTTATGAATGAAACTGAAAAGAAAGGGTTGATCCAAAGAGAGGCTAGGTAGCAATGTATCAATCTGCCCCCGAGATTAAGAAGCACGTTGAGGACTAGGGAACACTCAACATTGCCCCGTAGACATGTAAGAACTCTAGGACTGCCTTTAAAATGTGAGGGTGTAATGTAATGGTTAGAATATGGCACTGAGACGCAATATTCCTTGGTTCCATGCCTGCATAGAAGGAAATCACTGTATGACCTAGAAGAGTAAAGTCAGTAAATCCCTCTGTGGCTCAGTTTACCCCTTTGTGAAATGGGTGAGAGTTTTAGCTGAAGAAAGAAAATGGGAGTCCCATAGATTTTTTCCTGCTAAGAGCAGCATACAAAAGAAAGATAGTAGCTTCACTGAGAGGTGTAGAAGCAAACATGCATGAGAGTCGGTACGCTCTGTCAGCTGTGGCATTTGGACAAGCACTGAAAAAAAGTAACTTCAGTCCTATCTTCTACGGATGATTTCAATGCAGCCTTTTTGGATAAATAATGAAATTGCAGCAGCCAGTGCAAACATGGGCGGGAGGGCACTTTGCCAAAAAGACCAAGGGTAAAATCCACCTGTGTTAACAAGTGGTTAAGTGTCTTACTCAAGGTCATGTGAGACATCAATGGCAAAGTCGGATAATGGAACGCAGGAGTCCTGGCTCTTAATCCCCTGCTCTAATGACAAGGCTACACTTGCAGACAATTCGAAATGATGAGGCAACTTTTATTTCAGTGTTTAACCACCCTGACAGTAAGGAAGTTTTTCCTAATGTCCAACCTAAACCTCCCTTGCTGCAGTTTAAGCCCATTGCTTCTTGTTCTATCCTCAGAGGCCAAGATGAACAAGTTTTCTCCCTCTTCCTTATGACACCCTTTTAGATATCTGAAAACGGCTACCATGTCCCCCCTCAATCTTCTCTTTTCTAAACTAAACAAACCCAATTCCTTCAG